GGTGGCAATGCCAAGGTGAGCACAGGTGACAGTGGGTGTGTGAGGTGGCAGTGCCAGGGTGGGCACAGGTGACAGTGGCCCTGTGAGGTGCCGGTGGCTCTGTCACATCCCCAGCTGGGGAAATCCAGGCCCGTTTGTGGAACTGGCTCTGCAGGTGGTTGGCATAGAAACCAGGGAAGGCTGTGATGCATCACTCAGGGCCGTTCTTTACCCTGGATTTGTTTTTTTTTAGCCTCTTCCCTGTAAATCCATTTCTGTAGTAACACTTTTTTTGCCTCTTTTTTTTTTTTTTTTTTTCTTTTTTTTTCCCTTTCTGGTTCACTCTGAAATATTTACACTCGGGCTCCCACAACTCCTCCAACACATCCCTGTCTGCCCGTGCAGACAGATCCGCTGGCACTGCTGTGCCCACATCCCCAGGCTCTGGGTGCCCTGGTGACACTTTGTTTGGTCCCAGAGTAGGGAAAAAAATGGGGAAAACTTGGGGGGGCGTTGGTCTCTGGGGGGGCCTGATCCACAGGAAACTCCCTGCACCGTTGCTTCCCAAACCAGGTGCCAACACCAGGGTGATGCCACATCCCCTGTGCCCACCCCAGTGCCCCCCCAGTTGCCACCACTCTGGGCTTGTTGGGGCTGGCTGGTGGCAGAGCTGGGAATTCAGCAGCCGAGGGCTGATGTTACCTCGGCTTGCTGTGAATGATGAAGTGAATTCTCTGGGTATTTATTGTAAATAAAATCACAGCGGGGGCCTTGTGAGCCGGAGCGACGTCACCGAGGAATTCGGGATGAAAGACGTGGCTGGGCTAAAAATAACACGGGGCACAGTCGTTTGTTTGCCTTTCAAATAAAGGCCTTATTATGAAATGGAAATAATTGCGGGTGTAATTGACTTTTCGCCAGGCCCACTGCTCCTGCTTTGCTTTTGAGGTGTGTTAAAATCGTGCCACGTTCCCCCGCCTGCAGGTCCCAACCTTCCAGCAAAATCCCACCTGAGGATGGGGCTGGAGCTTCCCTGCTTCCTCGAGTGCTTTGGGAGATCCTGCCTTGGGATATTCACATTTTAGGGAATCCACTTTCCCATGAAACAGCCCTGGCAGTGGGCACTGCCCTGCCCTCCTTCCCACGGAGGGAAATCAAAGCCTAAGCCCTGGTGCTGCAGCTCCAAAATAAATCTTTGGAGTCCAAAAATAAAATTGGATGCGAATATAGACTTGCAGAAACATTTGCTGATCTTAGATTTATTTTTTTTTTAAATTCTCAGTGTTTTTTGTGATTGTTTTGACTGCTGAAACGGCTCCTGGCCCCGGCTCCTGCTGTCATCATTCCCAGCAATTACAGGGATTTTTGAGATGGTTTTCTTTCTTTTCCCAGAGTTAACCCTTTGTGGTGAGGATAGGAGTTGTGGGATGGGGATTTGGAATTTTGGGATGTGGAACTGGGGATTTGGGGCTTTGGGATGGGCGTTTTTCAGGAGGGAGATGGGGGAAGCAGGGAGCACGTGGTGCAGGGCAGCTTCCAGTAACCCTGGGAATAAACTGCTCCCTAATCCTGCTGATTTCTCTCTCCTTTCCTATTTCCCCCCTCCCAGGTCGGACAAAACCCTTCAGGACATTGTGTACAAACTGGTCCCAGGGCTTTTCAAAGGTACAGCCACGGGCAGGGGTAACTGGGGGGGTTTTTTGGGGACAGGAACAGGGACAGCAGGACAATGTCTGTGTGTGCACAGCCAGGGATGGGCTCATCCCACACTCCGGGGGCTGCTCTGAGGGGACCCACAGGAAGCAAAGCTGGGAGTAGGAGCCTGGGTTTGCTCTCCAAGTGCCCCCCCCGTCCTCGTGGGGGGGGAAAATTGTGGGGTCTGCGGGTGTGGGAGGGCTGAGGAGCAGCTGAGCTGCCGGAAAGGCTTTGTCACAGCAGCGGCTCTGAGGGTTTATGGGTTGATTGCTCCTGTTAAAGCCGCTGCTCCCCAGGGGAGGGGGCACTGGGCAGTCTGGGGGGCTCCTCTCACACCCCACTCTTTGCCCCCATCTCTCCTCGGAGAGGTGTTTTCCCCCCTCACCCTCCTCCTCCTCCCTCAGATGAGATGAAGAGGCGCCGCGATTTCTACGCCGCGTATCCCATGGCCGAGGGTGAGTGTCACCCCCCTGACCCTGCCGTGTCCTCCCCCCGGCAGCGGCTCAGCCCCTCCCTCCCTCTGCTCAGCCCTTCCCTCCCTCTGCTCCCGCAGTTCCCAACGGCTCCAACGAGGATCGAGGGGAGGTGTCGGAGCAGGACAAGGGGAACCTGACGGACGACGAGATCGTCAGCCTGTCCATCGAGTTCTACGAGGGCTCCAGGTACCCGTTTTGGGGCTGCTCCCAAACCTCTACCTGGGTTTGGGGCTCGGGAAGAAACTCCCACCTTCTGTCCCCGCTCTGGCACTGAGATCGTGGAGTCACGGAATGGTTTGGGGTGGAGGGGACCCTAAAGATCATCTCATTCCATGGGCAGGGACACCTTCCACGCCAGGCAGGCAGGGAAGCTCTTT